ACAACATAAGGAGGACCACAAGCTGCCCAGCACTGGTCTTCAGCATCCAAGGATCTCACTTGAAATTACCTACTAAACCAGAAATGCCACCTATCCCAGCACTATGGTATTCTAGCAGTAGTTTATTTGGGTGGGGTTTGCGGGGGGGGGGACCGCCTCTCTTTGAAGCTGCTATTCATCCTGGAAAGGAAGCACTCCTTAGAATCAATGGAACCTCCTGAGCTTGAGGACAATTTAACTGAGACTGCAGCACAGAGGGTTAACCCACTCCCCATGCTGCCTGGTTTTGGTCCTGATGACAGCTCTCCCATCACTGCTATTTACACTTAGGAGAGTGGGAGGGGTGAAATGCCTTCACATATTTCGTGCATGGTCCCGGGCTTGTCTCTTGCATACCACAGCAGTACATATACAGCTTCCTTGTGCCTTGGAGCATTTTTCTCTCTCCTCTAGCTCATGGGTAGCCAACATGGTGCCTTCTAAATGTTGCTGGTCTACAGTTCTCATCCACCCAGGTTGTTGGCTATGCTGTTGGAAGTTGGAGTCCAATGCCATCTGAAGTGCCCCACACTGACTACCCCTGGTCTAGCCTACCAAACCAGGCAGCCAATGGCACAGTATTACAGACAGAGGTGACCACGATAGGACCATGTCCATGGGACTTCTTGATCTTACATGAAGGTGCAACAAAGCATGCTGCCTGAGCCAATTGTGGTGAACATATGGCAGGTTTGTGTCCGATCATATAAAGGACAGCACACACATATGCATGTTGGTGTCATGTTCTGGACTTCACCAAGACTGCTGCTACTGTTTTTGGGGTCTCCTGTTGGACACCAACTCCCTTCAGTCCTAGCCATCACAGCCAAAGACCTGGGATGATGGACTGCAAGCCTGCACCTCTTCAATGAAGCAATATTTCTTTTCCTCAGCAATTTTATTAGGGAGGCAGAGTTAAAAGAAAGTTAGCCATCTATTTCATCTCCTCCAGCACTATTGTGTATAATGACATTTGGCAGACAGCCGATCTGCACCCTGTCAGAAGTGTTGTACCTCATCTCCCTTGATTGGGGATTTTTATGAGCAGCATGACATTGTGGGGGTGGGGGGTGGACAAAACAAGAGGAAGCCAAAGCTATGTTTCGTGTCTTCAATCAGCAGTAAGAGCATGTCAGTCCACCATCAATTTCCTGGTTCCCCATTTTAATTAAAAACTGAATTTCCTGAGAAGGTGTTAATTCCCCACCACTGATGCATTAAAAATGCATGTTGAGGGAGATGTGATGGGGGGGAGGTCAGCTTGGGAGACTTAGACTAAATCAGCAGGTCATCCCAACTGCTGGGAAGGGAAGAGTCAAAGGGAAACGACTGGTGCCCCAAGGAATGGATTTCATATCTTTTCCACATTGGTTGACCAAAAAGCAAGGATAGGAGGGGAGGGAGAAAAGGGAAAGGGGCAAAGAAGCAGGATGGCAAGGGAAATGATCAAATGAAAGAAAATGGCACATGGCAAACAGGAAGGCAGGTGTCCTAAGTATAGCAGGTGAAGCATCATTTTGATCAGGGCTGGAGAAACTTTTTCCCGCCAGAGGTTGCTGAGCTTCAGTTCCCACAAGCCCAACTACCATGGCTGATGATCAGGGTGCTGGGAGTCATAGTCCAGTTTTGTTTGCTTATTCAAAAGAAAACTCCCTGAGCTGTTGAATAAGAAACTGGTGTTTAATTGCTGCTGTGCTGTCAAATAAGTTTGGGGCTGCCCCATATCCTATAATTCATTGACTAAAGGTAAAGGTAAAGGGACCCCTGACCATTAGGTCCAGTCGTGACCGACTCTAGGGTTGCGGCGCTCATCTCGCTTTATTGGCCGAGGGAGCCGGCATACAGCTTCCGGGTCATGTGGCCAGCATGACTAAGCCGCTTCTGGCAAACCAGAGCAGCACACGGAAACACCGTTTACCTTCCCGCTAGAGCGGTACCTATTTATCTACTTGCAATTTGACGTGCTTTCGAATTGCTAGGTTGGCAGGAGCAGGGACTGAGCAACGGGAGCTCAATTCATTGACTAGGAGTCCTTTATTCCCAACACACTCCCTGTAGCTTTATTCTTTGCTGCCCTCCAGTGAGGTTACCTTCCTCATCCTGCCCCTCCGATCCTCATTCTACATGACCCTTCCCCCAAACATCTTGCCACCGTCATCTTCAGCAGCTATGCTAATTTTGGCATCCTTATAATCTTCCAGTGTCGTATAATTTGTCTCTAGATCTTTCATTCCCCTGGCCCCTGCAGCATATTCTAATCCTGTAGAAACAACTTGCTTCACTGTGGCCAGGAGCACACCAAGCTTCATTGAATGCTCTTAATGAATGGAGATCTAATTAAGTCTTTGGTCCTAAGCACTCACATATGGGTACAAACCTCATTGGTCTTGGTGGGATTTACTTCTGAACAAACACGCATGGGATCTGGTGGCAGATCAGTTAGCCTGAATGTCTCATTTCTTATAGACTAATGATATTTTAAAAAGTAGTCTGGAACTACTTTTGTTGGGATAGAAAAAATAGCTGGTGCCTTTTTTCTTTTTAAATAAAAGTAAACAGCATATACCATCTAACCATTGTTCTCTGCTCTAATCTGGAGAAAATAACTACTCAGCTGATTCATTTCAATTACCAACCTGGTGCATAATGCCCATATGCCTGCGGGTGGCACTGTGATCTAAACCACTGAGGCTCTTGGGCTTGCTGATAGGAAGGTCGGTGGTTCAAATCCACGTGAGGGGGTGAGCTCCTGTTGCTCTGTCCCAGCTTTTGCCAACCTAGCAGTTCAAAAGCACACCAGTGCAAGTAGATAAATAGGTACCTCTGTGGCAGGAAGGCAAATGGTGTTTCTGTGCACTCTGGCACTTGTCATGTGTCCCATTGCGCCAGAAGCGGTTTAGTCATGCTGGCCACATGACCCGGAAAGCTGTCTGTGGACAAATGCAGACTCTCTCAGCCTGAAGCAAGATGAGCGCCTCACCCCATAGTCACTTTTGACTGGACTTAACCATCCAGGGGTCCTTTACCTTAACCTTCTTTACCTTTTACATGCCTGCATTAAACAGGTGGGTACCCACTTCACCCTACCTGTGTGTGTACAAACAACTGTTTAGATTGTGCTACAGGATAACCTTGCATTGTGAGAACTTTGAACATATGCCCCTAGGGCCAAAGCAATGAGATCGAGTTCTCAAAACAGTCCGCTCCTTGCCTCTACACCAGCGTCTTGATGGCGCGTTCTACCCCATCTAATTCTCCCCAAACGACTCCAGCGGAGACCCCACCTATTTCCTAAACAGCCCAAAGCATAGTTCTAGATCAGCACGTCGGACAGCTCTCGGCGGCCTCGGAGCGCTTAGCCGAGCCCGGCGTCGCGGCGGGCACGCCCCCTTCCAGCCCCGACGAGACCTTCCGCCAGCCTCAGCCAGACGACCCCTCCTCCTCCTCTTCCTCCTCCAGCCCCTTCCCTTCCGATCCCACCTGCCCACAGCGAAGATGGCGGAGGCGGTGGCTTCAGCCGCCTACGCCAGACGGGTGGGCGCTACCACGGCAGGGAGTGGGAGGGAGGGCGGAGCGGACCATCGGGGCAGCCGGGAGCCATGTTGGGGCTGCGGGAGGAGGCGATGCTGCCGCCGCCGCCGCGGAGCAGCCAGGCCCGCAGGGAAGGCAGGAGCCGCCGCCGCTTCTAGATAGATGGTGGTGGCGGCGGCGGCGGCGCAGGCGGAGAAGGGGGCAGAGCCAGAGGCGAGGCGGGGCCGGAGCAGCGCCAGGCCCGGGCAGGGGGGCGGGGAAGGGGCCGAGGGACCATGGCTGAACGGCGGCAGCAGCAGCAGCCGGGACTACCAAACCGCCGCCGCCGCCGTCCTCGCCAGTGCCGCCGGCTGGGGCTGCTGCTGCTCCTTCTCCTCCCTTTGTTTCCCCTCAGCTTGGGGGAGCCGTCGGACAGAGGGGGCTTGGGCTGCGCCCGCTTGGCTGCGCCGGGAGGGCCGAGCTGCGAGCTGCGCTGCTGCGCTCTCGTCGGGGGACGGTGGGGAGCCTCCTCCGTAGCCAGTGCCCGAGGGGGCGGCTGGGGCTGCGACGGCACCTTCTCTCAGCCCCCGCCGGGGGCCGGCAGTGCCTCCTGGGCTGGCTACGTGACCCCACCGCCGGATAAGAAGAGGAGCCGGCGTCCAGCGAGCGCCCCGGGGGCGTGGGGCAGCTGCTCCCGCTGCTTGTGGATTATAAACGCTTCCGCACTTCTTCCCGGGACTACCCGGGAATGCCTTCTCCAGCGAGCCAGGCTCGGGGCGGACTGGGAGCAGGCGGGCACCTCCTCCAGCCCTTGCAAGCCCGGCGTCGGAAAGCCGGACAATGGAGCTTATAGAGAGACTAGCCGGGCGGCCCCATCCCAATCCCGCCTGCGCGCATCGGGTCTCCACACCCGGAGCCGGCGAGTGCGCCTCTGCGGGCAGAGATTTCCCCGCGTGTGGAACGACACGGACCCGCGTGGGCTGCTGAGATCCGGCGCAAGAGCGACGAAAGGAGCCGCGACGCCGGCGAAGCCCCTTTGGCTCTCGAGAATGCGCCTTGCTTCTTTTTCCCGCTCGCCCTTCTGCGGATGGCTCGCCTTGCTGACCTGCCTCCAGCTCCGCGCGGGGCAAGCGGGGCACTCGGGGGCTTCCCGTCGCTGTGCCGGCGGCGAGTGCTGCGGAGCCGGCCAGGAGCAATGCTGCCTCCAGCCTTGGGGAGGGAGAGGCTGGGCAGGAGCTGTTTCAGCACCACCACCGCGCAGGACAGCTCCCGGCGTCTCGCTGGGCGCCCACCCAGACGGAGAACGGAGGAAGCCGGAGCTCTGCCTTCTCTTCCACCCGCTCGACTCCACCAAAGGCTGTTTACAAACTCTTTGTTTCGGTGTGGGTTTTAGGAGTCCCTCCACTCCAGACTTCTTTCCCTACCTGCCGCTAAAACCTACTCACCCAACTATGCAGAATGAGCTAACCCATTCCTCGTGTGCCAAGAAACGGAGGAGAGACGGGGCATTGCTCCCTTTGGTAAGGACTCGGAGAGCAGCCAATCGCCACCCGCTCTTCCCTCAGTATAATTACCAGGTCCAAGTGGCCGAAAACCAGCCTCCCGGGACCCCTGTGATCACGATGGCAGCCCAAGACCCCGATTCAGGTGAAGGTGGGCGCCTGCTCTATTCCATGGATGCCCTGATGAACAGCAGGTCCCTGGAGTTGTTTAGTATTGATTCGCAAAATGGCCTCATCACCACCACTGAAGTTTTGGACAGAGAAAATATGGACCTGCACTACTTTCGAGTGACCGCGGTGGATCACGGGGTTCCCCGTCTTTCTGCCACCACCATGGTTGCCATTACAGTGGCAGACAGGAATGACCACAATCCAGTATTTGAGCAGAGTGAGTACAGAGAGACTATCCGAGAAAATGTTGAAGAGGGCTACCCTATCTTACAGCTGAGGGCCACAGATGTGGACTCCCCACCCAATGCCAACATCAGATATCGTTTTGTAAATGAGCAAGCAGCTCACTCTGTCTTTGAAATAGACTCCCGGTCAGGGCTGATCACCACCAGTGGGCAAGTGGACAGGGAGAAAATGGAGAAATATTCTTTAGTGGTGGAGGCAAATGATCAAGGTAAGGAGCCTGGCCCTCGATCGGCCACAGTTAGAGTCTATATCACAGTCCTTGACGAGAATGACAATGTCCCACAGTTCAGTGAGAAGCGGTACATAGTCCAGGTAAGAGAGGATATCAGACCCCACTCGGAAATTTTGAGAGTTACTGCCACTGACTTGGACAAAGACAATAATGCTTTAGTTCATTATAACATCATCAGTGGGAACAGCAGGGGCCAGTTTTCCATTGACAGTGTGACTGGGGAAATACAGGTAGTGGCACCTTTGGATTTTGAGGTTGAGCGGGAATATGCACTGAGGATACGTGCCCAGGATGCAGGGCGGCCTCCTCTGTCCAACAACACAGGCATGATCAGCATCCAAGTAGTGGACATCAACGATCATGCTCCCATCTTTGTCAGCACCCCTTTTCAAATATCAGTGTTAGAAAATGCCCCTTTTGGCCACTCGGTGATCCACATCCAGGCTGTGGATGCAGATTATGGAGAGAACTCTCGCCTGGAGTACAAACTCACTGGGGTCTCATCTGACACCCCCTTTGTGGTGAACAGTGCCACTGGGTGGATTACTGTGAGCGGCCCCTTGGATCGAGAAACGGTGGAGCACTACTTCTTTGGAGTAGAGGCCCGGGATCACGGCTCCCCAGCATTGTCTGCCTCTGCTAGTGTCACCATCACGGTAATGGATGTAAATGACAATCGGCCTGAATTTACCCAGAAAGAATATTTTATCCGTCTCAACGAAGATGCTTCCGTGGGGACCAGTGTTCTGAGTGTCACGGCAATTGACCGGGATGTGAACAGTGCCATCAGCTATCAGGTAACAGGTGGGAACACCCGGAACCGTTTTGCCATCAGTACCCAGGCAGGAGTGGGACTAATCACCCTCTCTTTGCCCCTGGATTACAAGCAGGAGAGGCGCTTTGTGCTGACAGTGACAGCCTCTGACCGGACTTTGCATGACACTTGTCACGTCCATATCAACATCACTGATGCCAACACCCATAGGCCAGTGTTCCAGAGCGCCCATTACTCAGTAAGTGTTAACGAGGACCGCCCTGTCGGCAGCACTGTGGTGGTGATCAGTGCCACTGATGATGATGTAGGGGAAAATGCCAGGATTACCTACTACTTGGAGGACAACATTCCTCAGTTTCGCATTGACGCAGACACTGGTGCCATCACGTTGCAAGCACAGTTGGATTACGAGGACCAAGTGACCTACACCCTGGCCATTACAGCCAAAGATAACGGCATCCCTCAGAAAGCAGACACCACCTACGTAGAAATCATGGTGAACGATGTCAATGACAATGCCCCTCAGTTTGTTAGCGCTCACTACCAAGGCATCATCTCGGAAGACAGCCCTCCCTTCACCAGCGTGCTCCAGATCTCCGCCACGGACCGGGATGCCCATGCCAACGGACGAGTGCAGTACACCTTCCAGAATGGGGATGATGGGGATGGAGATTTCACAATAGAACCCACGTCTGGGATTATCCGCACTGTCCGCAGGCTGGACCGGGAGAGCATCCCAGTCTACGAACTCACTGCCTATGCCGTGGATAGAGGCATCCCTCCCCAGAGGACACCTGTCCATATTCAAGTCACCGTGCAAGATGTGAATGACAATGCTCCTGTCTTCCCAGCTGAAGAGTTTGAGGTTTTAGTGAAGGAAAATAGCATTGTGGGCTCTGTGGTGGCTCAGATTACAGCTGTTGATCCAGATGAAGGGCCCAATGCACAGATCATGTATCAGATTGTGGAAGGCAACATCCCTGAAATTTTCCAGATGGACATATTTTCAGGTGAGCTCACAGCCCTGATTGACCTGGACTATGAGAGCAAGGCAGAGTATGTGATTGTAGTCCAGGCCACCTCTGCCCCCCTAGTCAGCAGAGCCACAGTCCACATCAAGCTCATTGACCAGAATGATAACAGCCCCATCCTTAAAAACTTCCAGATTCTCTTTAACAACTACGTCTCCAACAAATCCAATACCTTCCCTTCTGGGGTTATAGGGAAGATCCCTGCGTATGACCCAGATGCATCTGACAGACTGTTCTACACCTTCGAACGAGGGAATGAGCTGCACTTGTTGATTGTCAACCAGACTAGTGGGGAACTCCGGCTGAGTCGCAAGCTGGACAACAATCGTCCTTTGGTGGCCTCCATGCTGGTGACCGTCACAGGTAAAGGCAGTTTCAGTGCTTTTGGTGACTGTGGAAACGTTGCATTTCCTTGACTTATGACAACTGGGCCAGCCTTTTAGCAATGTTAAACGGCGCCAGACTCTCAGTACTGGACCATTATGCCAGGGGTGGAGGATAAGGGGGATGGGGAGAGACTTTGATGGCAATTATGCTGGTGGATCTTTTATTTATTTTCCCCCTGCTTCCTTTAGGGCGTAATAGCTCAGTGGGCTACCAAAAAGGCAAGATTTGATTGCTCGCTATTATCTCGTGGCAGACTCATTTCATAATTTATTAGGCAGAGCCAGGTTCCTGCCCTGAAGAGTTTACAATCTAAATTAGATAAAGTGTGCACAAAGGAAGGGAGAATGGATGCAAATGGGCTGAGACAAACCTGCTTGTTGCGGGGAGGATTAAAAAAGGGGGGAATGGCTGGAGTGGCTTCCCGGCTCTTTTCTTGGCTTTCTTTTGTTCAGTGCTGGAAACAGCTCACTAAATGTAGAGTGTGTTCCAGCAAGGCCTTTGCAAGAGGAGAATCTGCGTCTGGGTTTGGTTGCAACAAGTGATGTAGCCTGGAGAGCTTTGCCTTCCTAGGAGCTTTCCCCACAGCTGTGGAACTTAATTGGAATTGGGTGGGAAGAGGGAGGGAGCAGGTTAAGGGTTGCCCAGAGAAAAGGATACCACCTAGTGCAGGATTTCTGAGGCACGGTTGCTGTTTTGTTCAGACCATGCTCCTCTGTTGATTTTAAATCTCCCAGCCTTCCATTGGACTAGCCTGGACTAGCTGGAAGCAGCATGATGACTACCACAGTTTCCACAGGGCTTGTGGGTTTCTGGCACAGTGGTTTAGCATGCTCAGCACCAAAAAGTACCTTGGCTGCAGACAGGGGGTGGGGGGGAAAGGATTTTGTTCTGAGATTTGGTGCAACTGTCCATGACTATCTGTCATTCTGGCCTTCCCAGCAAGGAACTGAGCGGCATGGAAAGACCTACTCTTGTTGCCATGCTGAAGGGAGTTCCTTTTAAATTGGCTTAGGGATACCGTGATGGCAATGATGGCTTATTGCCCTCAAGCATATGCCAACAAGTCTCCCATCTCCCAGACTTCAGCTTTCCCACCTGCAAACCATGGCAAGGCGGAGTTACTTTTGCAAGCTGCCTTGCTAGCAAAATGCAAAAAGAAAGTGCCAGCCCATTAGGTTTTTTGTAATATGTTTGAATGCCAACTAGAACTTAGCCTCGGAATTGTCTAGGATGTCAGGGCTCAGCCTTAAAAGAGGAAGTAGTAATGAAGAGAGTGGCTCTGAGCTTAATTGGGCTGTCTTTCCCTTGCCCAATAACAGCATTTGCACATCTGGCTTTGAGAGTTAAAGGCTTCTGGGACAGAAGACATGACATCTGGTCATATATTCAACCCCAGCTCCTCTTCTTTTAAGAATCCCATGCTAGACATGTCCATTAAATGCGTCTCTAAGCCTATGGATCAGCTGCCTTTCTCAAGGTCTTGACTCCCTCTCTTGCGCGGCTCAGGTACACATAATTGAATGCTTTGGAGTTTTCTCTTAAAAACAAGTTGATCCCCCACGGCCAAACTGATATTACTCTAGCTGGCTCTTAGATGCTGCCTCAGACCTAGGCACTGAAAACGTCAGTCCCCCTCTTGCTGTAAGATGGAAAATTGTTCCCAGTGCTATTTGGAGTCTTAACAGGCTTTGCCCAAGCCACAACTCACTCATCTTCATCAGGATTTGGCCTGATGGTCAGATTTCATCAAAACTGCTCTTTTTCATTTAATTCACTTAATTGGTCATGTTAACATGTCAGCATGTCTGTCTTGGCTCCAGTCCCTTCTTTGTCCTCCCTGCCCTCCTACTAAACAGAGTTTACATGGGCTTGGGATATTAATCCTACTCCTTTTTAATGTTACCTTTATCATTATCGATTTTGCTGGGTCCGTTTTTCAAAGGCCCATTTGCTATACTGGCATAAACTAGTTTTGTGCCTGAGTGTAATACCATAGATGGCACTTTCGTAGGTCAGGTCTAGACATATAAAAAACAAATGTGTCTCTAGAAAACTTCCCCTGCACTGTAAGGAGATGTTTTAATTTTATTAGAGGGAAGCAGTCATAGGAGAGGAATTACACCAATAGCCAAAGGCCATCAAGGAAAATCTACGTTACGGCCAGGAATAAGACATAGATTGCTTGAGCTGCTCCAATCTTTCGCTCTTTCCGTAAGGCCACCCCCTTCCTTCTGTTGCTAGCAATAGGTGTGCTTGAAAATGGAGCCTAATTATGCCAAATAACCCAACTGTGACTTGTGCAAACGGGTGTGGGAGGAGGCCCCTGTTTATGGGGAGTGGGGAGAGACAGAGGAAGGAGGTTGTATGTATCAGTGGCTCACAGGCTTAGTTACCCAGCTGTGTCTAGGGAGACTTACATTATTCATGACTTTCCCCACATCCTTAGCTATCATCTAGCCCTCTCCTATAACCCCCCCCCCGACTAATTTAGGGAGTGGGCTCGGAAAAGGCAGCCCTTGTTTCCTTCAAAAGGATGGGGGGTGCAGGCGATGTGTTCTGCTGGGGCTCATTGCTAGATTGGGGTTCTTCAGGGGTTAATTGTAACTGCAGGGCAGGGCGATATCGTATTCAGGCACACAGGCAGGCATTGGGCGCTGATTACTGGAGAGCTAAGCTGACCTTTTCATGCTTCTGCCAGGGTGCGCTGCTGACGCTGGCTCAGCCTCCCTAACACACTTAACCCCGCACAAAGGCAGGGAGAAATCACATTTTCGGGTCTCACATTAAACTGCCTTAGAACAACAAGGCTCTCGAAAGGACGGTGTTGTCATTTCCCCAGCTTCCAGTGTGGAAATGAGGAGAGAAAAGGCTAAGCTCATGCAGGCGAGGAGAAGCATGGAAAGGGAATTAGGCAAAGGAGCCCTCCCTGGGGGCAGGCGAGGAGGTGGGGGAGAGGTGTAGGGGGAGCGGGGGGGGGAGCGCTGCGCCTTTTGTTGGCTCTGGTGGTGGCTGAGGATGCTCAGGCCATTTTGTTCAAGCACTTCTTGCAACCCCTGGATTTTATTTTTGTTGTGTTTTTTCTTTTCTTTTCTTTTTAAAAAAGAATCTATTGTTTGTGGAGTACTTCCCATGCCAAGCTGATCCAGTGGAAACACGTGCCAGAGCTGGTGGCTGGAATCAATGCACAATTAGTCTTGTCTAGGGAAGAGGAGGGAGCAATTTACGAAAAAGGATCTTAATGGATGGAAACCCCAGACTTACTACCTTGCTCAATAATGCACAGGCCCCACGCAGAAATTAAGATGGCAAGCCTCAGTCTGTATCATGGAGCACACATTTATTTCAGAAGATCAGTAACTGTTGTTATTATTACAGTCGTACCTTGGTTCTCAAACAGAATCTGTCTGGAAGTCCATTTGACTTCCGAAAATGTTTGAAAACCAAGGTGTGGCTTCCAATTGGCTGCAAGAGCTTCCTACAGCCAATCAGAAGCCACGGAAGCCCTGTCAGATGTTCGGGTTCCAAAGAATGTTCGCAAACCGGAGCATTCACTTCTGGGTTTGTGGCATTTGAGAGCCAAAACGTATGAGTACCAAGGCGTTCAACAACCAAGGTACGACTGTATTGCAGCATTATTATTATTATTATTATTATTATTATTATTATTATCTTTCATTCCTTCTCATCCCATGAACTCAGCAACTTCCAATAGATGGAACATTTAACTGAGGGCCAGGCTGGACAAATCAGTCATTCTGCGAAATGCTTTTTTAAAAAAGTAAGTTGTAAGTGTCTAAATCTCAATATGGATTGGTGGGAAACTGTTAAAGGCCTCCCCACCCTCCATGCCAGGGTCCTGATCCAGATTAGGTGCCCCAGTGCCTGCAATCTCCTTTTTAAAAGACACTCTTGCTGATGGTGCCAATGGCGTCCCATGACTGTGAGAGCTACAAAGCCAGGTTCATATCTCAACTCAGCAACTGATTCAGTGCCACCACTTTTGGAGCACCCGTTGGTTCTGCTTTTGCTGTGGACGCATGGAGATGGTCTCACACAGCAGAGAGCCACCGCGGGAAAAGGGTGTGCATCGCCACCCAGCTCAAAAGACACATCCTGACAATTCAGGAAGGCCCAGAGGAGCATCGCAATGTGGCTGAGCACCCATGCACAGATCCCCCATGTGCTAAAAGTGTAAAGCACTTTGGAGAGTCAGCGTGGTATATAAATGATACTAAAATTATAGCCTCAAGCTTGCCAAATTACAGGGTGAATGTGTATACTATCCTAGCTACTGATGCTGGATCAGAAGATGCTGTCATGAGTGGGTTTAATCCTGTTCATGCGAAGAATTAAAATGAGAGGTGTAAGCCAACGCTATCCCTTTAGGAACAGACTTAATAAAGCTATTGATAAATAGAGAGAATGAGCTGCATCATACTAATAGGCTTGACTAAAACTTTACATTACTACGATCAAAATGATTCTTCCCAAAGGGAAGTGAGTATGAATCAGCTAACGGAGTTTCCTTGGAAGTGGGAGGGCAGGATTCCTCCCAGATCCTTCAATTATTTCTGTGAAAGGCCTCATGTCAAAACAGCTAGTGCCGAGGCGGGAGCTTGTTCCGTAGAGACAGGAAGCGCAAGCGGATGTCTGCTGCTGCTGCTGCTTAAAAAAATTAATTCTGGAGATACAAAGCTGCCTAACCAGCCTGGTGGTGGGAAGCACTTCTAACAGACCAAGGGCAAAGCTTGATATTATAAGGAAGATGAGACAGTCACGGAAAAGAAAAGAAAAAGCCCTACTCTGTATGCAGTTCCTTCTTTGTAGCCCCTCGTTCAGAGATCTGACTGGATCCTTTTCTCCACGCATGCTCCGTGGGCCAAGGGTGACAGGTGGATGGGGGCCAACCCCTTCCCATCATCTGACGTCCCAATGACACAAGGTGACCCATTTTTGCGCGCACCAATTGTTGGGGATTAGGTGCTCTGCTCATGAAACACCCCTTTGGTGTTGCCCCCCCCCCCTTCCAGCAGCAACGCTGGCTTCCAAATAAATCCAGCACCCCTACCAGGCACAGCTGTGACAAAGTTCTTACTCTTCATGGGTGGGGCCAGATCGGTTGCTTCACCTTTTACGCAGCAATCGTGGGTTTCATGGTTGCACCAGTTTTGCACTGCTGTCTACAGCAGTCAACACAGGGAAGGCATTGCGCATCTCCAGACACCCAGT